GCTATTTTTTGGTTGCAGCCATCATTGTTGTTTGGCGGGTCCGGGCTGGGGATTCGAACCCACCACCTTGGGTGTACGTGGCTGGCGCCTTAGCCGGTTGAGCTATAGGCGCCGAGCCTTCCGTTTGTTTTTAAATAAAACCTACTGTGGTAGTGGCCTCTGCAGTGCGGCTCAGCACAGACTAAACTTAGGGTTTTGGACTGAGGGTCCCCCTAAATTACACTTTCTGTGGTCCCAGGCTGACCATCTGGCCTGACCTGAGCCATGCTGCAGGGGGAGGGGCAGGGAGCCCTGCGCTCAGGCTGGGAAGTTGTGGGTCATGGAATCTTCCCCAGCCGGGCTCCATGGAGGTATTGTATCTGCCTGGTTGGTGCCTAAGTCCTGCCCTCCAGCCTGTGAGCTCCTGCTCACCCTCCTCTGGACACCTGTGGACTGGGGAACTGGGGATCCTGGGGCCCCTGTCGCCCCTGTCTGTCTGTCCTCAGGGCATTCCCTGTTTCTGTGTGCCTACCCCCAGCACTTCCCCTCCCTTGTTGCTCTGGGAACAGTGTCCATATGTGGTTGTCCTCAGGCTGGCTGCTTCAGCTGTGCAGATGGGCTGTGCTTATCTACCCAGTTCAGGGTCTGAGCAGACACCCTGCCTGGCCACCCACACGCAGCCCTGCTGTGAGTTTATCAAGGTTTCTAGATGGGGTCTGTGCTATTAGGGGAGGCACCTGGGGTGTGCGGAAGCAGGGAAAGGCAGGGCTCAGGTCACAGGGCCTCTGAGATTGGCCTGGGCACTCTGCTGCTCTGTGCAAAGGGACTGAGCAGGCCTGGACGCCTGGGACTAGGAGGGGCTTCCTGCCTTTGCCACTACTGCCTAGGACACTGGCCTGTCCCCAGGAGTTGGCACAGGGCCCTTCTTCCTGCAGGGCTAGGGCTGAGTCACACACAGCCCGTGATTCATGCCGCTGGGCAGGCAGTGCTGCGGCACCTGGGCCTGGCAGATGGGCCAGGGCAGAGCTGGGGTATGGCACAGGATGGGAGCCCCCTCCCGTCCCTCAGCGGTTTCAACACATCCCACCCCAGGTGATGTGGGTGTCTAAGCCCCTGAGGCTGTAGGCTGACAGGGTGGTCATCTGCCCCCAGAGCCTGCAGAGGCCCCACTAGTTTTCTCTGCACTCCTCACTGAGCTGTCCGGATCCTGGCCCTGCTCACTCCTCTCCCCACCCTCTGCCTCAGGCACCATTGGGGAGTGTGGCTGCAGGGTGCTCTCTGCACTGTCTGTCAGAGGCTGTGGCTTCTGCTTACTCTCTGCTGGGCCAGGTGGCATCTTCCCTCCCAGGCTCCTGGCACCTGCCATCATGAAAGGCACTTTGCCCCCGTCATCCTCTTCACACCTTTTCTCACTCTCCTGTGCCTGGGAGGGACGCAGCCACTGGAGCTAAAGCCCACCCTGGAGCTGCTGCCCTGGGCCCTGCACCCCATGCTCCTGGGGCTCTTTGCCAACTCCCTGTGAGGCAGGGGTCCCCAGGGCAGAAACTTTCTTTTAGGAGCCTTGGCCCTCCAAGGTCGGGCTGGGAGGGGGAGCCGGGGCCATGGTGGTTGGGAGGTTGACCCGGCTGCTGTCCTGGAGATGTGCCTGCTCCAAAATAGCCAGATTTTTAAAAATAACCCAGGCAGCTTTTGTTTGGCTTTTGCTTTAAAAGAGATTTTTTTCCTTGTGCACAGAACTATGTAGCGGCAGAAAGGTCAGCTCGAGTTGGCAGCTGAGCCGAGGGGGGTGTGGAAGGGGATGGGCTGTGTCCAGAGAGGCCAGGGTCTGCGCCTGCTGCGGGTTGTTCTGAGGGTAGCGGGTGTCACCCTGGAAGTTGAGACCAGGTTGGGGACAGATGGGAGACCCCTTGAGTGTGGTCTTCCCTTCTTGCCAGCGTATATGCAGCTGGCCAGCCCTTCAAGGACAGCTGGCCAGGGCCTCTGACAGACAGAGGCTTGGGTGGACAGAGGGGTGTGAAGCTGGGATGTTCATGAGCAGCCCAGTGGGGGGGGAGGGGCTTCCATGCCCCCTTGCCCTGCCCATCAGTGTCTTGGAGTCAATATTTATTCAGTGCTCTCAGCTGGGAAAAATGTGACCAGCCTGCAGGAGGGGCAGGAGGAGGGACAGATCGGAGGGTGCAGCAGCTCCAGTACGCAGGGAAATGCGGGGGCAGGACCCAGGGGACCATTGGGTCCTTCTCTGTCCTCGGGAGCCTTTTATGGGGCCTGTTCTGCCTACCCCCCCACACACACCAGAGAGCAGCCTGTGACCCTGCCCCAGCATGCAGGTTCCCTGGAATGCTCCTGGTTTGGGGTGCTGAGGCTGAGCAGTGCTGATCTCTCTGCTCCCCACCCACAGGGAGGGGAAGATGACCTCAGAGCCTGGCAGTGTGTGAATAGGCTGTGCCCCCACCCCCACCTCAGGGGAAAGCCGAACTTTGTTTCCCTTGCTGTCTCTGCAATGCTAAATCTTCCAGGCAGGACTTTGGCCCAGCGTGTCTTGGGGTCCTGGAGCTCTGCCCTGCCTGGACTCTGGACAGCCTGCCCCTCCAGGACTGTTGCCATAAGGGGTCTGTGGTCCTTCCATGGCAGACACCACAGCAGCTTCAGGAGATGAGGGTGGAGTGACTGGGTCCTTGAGCAGCCCTTGGGGGGACCCCTCTCTCCTCTATGGATGGGGCTCCTACCAGCACCCACCAGGTCCCTGGCAGAGAAATCCTCTGGGGCAGCAGGTGTGAAGAAGGCCCTCCTGAGGCCTGGTGTGTGGTCCTGGGGTGTAATGTCACCCTCAGTGGCCTTCTGGGCCACTCAGAGCCCACCTGGGAGCAGGGAAGGGCTAGCCCTCACTACCCTTAGTGTTGGATGTGGGTATTGGGCCCCCACGGGGCCTCTAGGGCTGGGGGGCCAATACCCCCCATGGGCTGGGCCCCTGGGCAGGGGTCAGCATTTGTGCTGTGTCCACAGCTGAGCCTCTGCCCTCCTTGTGCCGCTTGTGGGGGTTCACTGCCCCCTGCTATCTCTCAGAGCCCTGCCCTGGGCCTTTTCCCCTCTGTTTCTTTTGCTATAGTTGCCAGGCCTTGGGGGGCTGGGGAAGGCTCACCCTAACAGGCTGCAGCCAGAAGCCACATGCCCTCTACGTTATCAGTGGGGGGCTGAGCCTAGGAGCTGGGGGTCACGTGGGTCATGGGGGCACTCAGCACAGTGGGGACCAAGCCCCACCCTGGGACATGCACGCTGGGGGTGCCAAGGTGGGGCCTACCTGGTCACCCACCTGTCCTGGGGACCTTCCTGCCCCATGGTCAGCTTCTTGTTCTTGAGGCAATAGACAGTTTTTAGGAACCACAGGCCTTTCCTGGGGGCTGTGGCCCCCACCTGCAGGGAGCTATTCCTGTGGGTGGGGTAGAGTCACCTGGTGCTCAGACTCGGGGGGTGGCAGGGTACCCATGGAGGACTGAGTCAAGCCCCAGCACCCAGCTCCAGCCTGGAAGGGACTTCAACCTCCACAGGCCGCTGCCTCCAAGGGGCAGGTCAATCCCCATGTGCCTTCGCATCTTCAAGGGGCTTGTTCCCGACAGGTCAGGGTGACTCTGAGGAGCCAGCCCCAGAGGCAGGCACAGGACCAGTGGGGCCATTTTAGGTGGGGACAGACATGTGGTTGGAGCAGTGATGACAGGAGTTGGGGGTGATCAAGCCTGGCTTCCAGGGGGAGGGAAGTGCAGGGTAGTGGGGGCAGAGGGGAGCAGGGCCTGGATAGAGAAGGTGGGAGGATGGCTGAGGTGGTGGTGAGATGGGCTGTAGCCCAGGAGGGCTTCTCTGAGGTGGTGTCTGAGGTACCCTGTGAGGCTGTGCTGAGGTAGGGCCCCACCCATCCCCAGGGGTACAGAGACAAGAGGCTGTGGGCACCTCCCTCAGGCCTAGGTGGGGCTAACACAGGGAGACAGTGGGTAGTGGTAGGCGGAGCCCTTGAATAGGAGTGCATCTGGGGGTGCAGCTTCCTTCTGCCCTGGCTGGGGGCCACAGGGAAGTCACAGCCCCAGTCCTGGGCTAGTGGGGTCTTCTTAGCTTGACTCATATTTGAAAGGCCTATTTTCCAGCCGTCTCTAGGACTCCACTTGCTCCATGCTTCCTGGCCCAGGCCTCAGTGGCTGTGGGCCAGTCAGCGGGTGATAGGGCAGAGTCTGTTCTGGAAGGGGTGTTGACTGTCAGACGTGCTGGGAGCTGGACTTGATAGATGGTAGAGGCACTGTCTGGCTGCCTATTACGGCTGGATATCATGCTGTGGGGACGCTGGGATGTACTCCTATCTCTGCCTCGATCCCACTGCCTCAGACCCCAAACTTCTAGGGGATATGAGGGAGGACACTCCTAAGAGGGCTGGCCCCTGTGTCCATGACTACCCCTGGTACAGGCCCTGTCTCCTGCATCCATCTAAGGGAGGACACTCCTGAGAGGGCTGGCCCCTGTATTCACGACTACCCCTGGCACAGGCCCTGTCTCCTGCGCCCATCTGCCCCTGGCAGGCAACCCAAAGATGCCTGTGTCTCCCGTGTCCTCCTGACCCCTCTTGGTCCCCACAGGTTTTCCATGTGGCCTACGTGCTCATCAAATTTGCCAACTCCCCTCGGCCAGACCTCTGGGTGCTGGAGCGATCCACAGACTTTGGCCACACCTACCAGCCATGGCAGTACTTTGCATGTGAGTCTGGGAGCTATGGGGCCTAGTGGGGGTGTCCCTTTTGGGGCTGCCATGGTCGTGCTCTTTTGAAGTCTCCAGTCACTAGCCTGGCCCTTGACCCAGCTCCTGTGTGGTTTGGGACCGTCCATCCAAAGACTTTCGGGAATTTATCAAACAGGAATTTATCAGCTCGCATCCCCAACCTCAGGCACAGCTGGGCTTGGGCTGATGGTGCCAGGAACCTCGGTGCCATCTCTTGGCTTCTTCTGGGCTGGTTTCATGTGCGACAGCTCCCTGCAGTGACACAGGCCCTGGCGGCTCCCAGCTTGCATCCTGCCAGCTCAGCTGCCTATGTCAGGAGAACTGGGGGCCTGGCACTTCTTACTGCAGCCTTTGGCCACCTGCCATCCTGACTGGTCATGTTGTCAGGACAGAGATGCTTTGGTTGGGCAGGCCTGGCCACATGTCCCCCAAACTCTGGGGACTGAGAGTGAGGGAGGGGCAATTTTCTATTATAGTTTTTTTTTTTTCTGTCTGTCTTTTTTTTTTTGGCCAGGGCTGGGTTTGAACCCGCTACCTCCAGCATATGGGGCCAGCGCCCTACCCTTTTGAGCCATAGGCACCGCCCCCCAGGGGGGCAATTTTCTTGGGGCAATTAGGGGGCTGTCCCAAGGAAGGAGATGAAGATGGCCTGGGGAGGGGGCACCTGCTCTCTAGAATATTCTAGGGAGAGGGATGTGGGGTGTAGGTGGTAAGCTGGCACAGTACACGCCCATCTCCAAGTCCTGCTGGCTGGCAGAACCTTGGTGGGGTGACTAGCGAAGGGCAGTGTTCCCCCGGGGGTGAGGTGTCCAGGAGCCACCCAGGCTCCAAAAACCTACGGAGCCAGCAGCAATGCCCCTGAACCCCTTGTCCCCTAAGAGCCGCTGGCTCTGTAGGCTTTTCTGGTGGTTCTAGCCTCTTCTTCTGGCATCTCCTACAGCGTCCAAGAGGGATTGCCTGGAGCGATTCGGGCCTCGGACGCTGGAGCGTGTGTTGCGGGATGATGACGCCATCTGCACCACCGAGTACTCACGCATCGTGCCCCTGGAGAACGGCGAGGTGGACCTGGGGCTGCGTGGTGGCGGGGCTGCTGGTCTGAGGGGGGCAGTTAGGTGGGGGCCACGCCCGGCCTCACCCTCCATGCTGTCTGCAGATCGTGGTGTCCCTGGTGAACGGGCGCCCGGGGGCCTTGAACTTCTCCTACTCCCCACTGCTGCGCGACTTCACTAAAGCCACCAACATCCGCCTGCGTTTCCTGCGCACCAACACGCTGCTGGGTCACCTCATGGGCAAGGCGCTGCGGGACCCCACGGTCACACGCCGGGTGAGTGTGCCAGCCTGTTTGCAGGGGCAGGGGAGGAGCTGGCTCAGGGTTGGGTGGGGGGCAGCCCTTGCCTGCTGGGGTGCTCACAGGCCTGCGGCTACAGTACTATTACAGCATCAAGGACATCAGCATTGGCGGCCGCTGCGTCTGCCACGGCCACGCGGATGTCTGTGACGCCAAAGACCCCACAGACCCTTTCAGGTGAGGTGCTCTCGGGTGAGGCCGAGGCCCCTGCCCCCTCTGTCACTGAAGGCTAAGCCTAGGGTAGGAGGCCAGGGTCCATTGCCTGCCACGCCACCCACCTCCTGTGTGACCTGAACTTACCTCTGCCTGTGGGCCTCAGTTTCTCCACCAGAAGTAGGGGTAGAGCTGAGTGTAGACTCCTGGGCCAGCAGAGGTGGGGCTTCCTCCAGCTCCCATGTGCAGGAAGGTGGCTCTCCCAGTGTATGCTTGTTCCTGGGCCCTACCCAGAGTCCCTGAGAAGGCAGGGCCCAAGAATCTGCATCTTCACCAAGCTGCCATCAGGTGTGGCACCTGGGACAGAACCCAGGTGGCTCTTGGCACCCAGTGAGTCCTGGCCCTTGGCTCGTCCTGGCTGAGGCAGCCCCAGGGTCTGTCGGGTCCTCCCTCATCTGCTGTGTGTTGAGCTCCTAACACGTTCTAGGCTCTGGGGACTTGGGAGGCAATCAGGAAACATGGAGAGGGGTACCCTGACACGGTGCCCTGTGAGCCAAGCGCTGCAGGTGCTAGGGCAGTGAGGCTGGGACAGAAACTTCCCAGGGAGGTGCCGTAGGGGTTTCCAGAGGGAACCTGTGGGCAGACCCACCCCACCCACCCCTAGTGCCTCAGCATCATGTAGCCAGCCCAGCCCAGTTCACTCCTGCCCCTTGCCTTCTGCTGGGGTCTTACAGCCCTGTCTACACCTTCAACTTATAGAGGAGATGGGTGGATAGAGCCCACCACATTCTCACAGTCAGGGCTGAGCAGAGACGTGAGCCGTAGGCCCCTTCAGATGTGACTTGTGGGCCTGGAGGGAGTGGTGTGGTCACCTGAGCCAGAGGACTCAGGCATGCTGCCCTCAGGAGCCTCAGGCCTGGCAGTATAGCTTCAGGTGCTGAGCTGGAGCACTAGGATTAAGTGCCAAGTGGGAGCACAGCTCGTGAGGGCTGGGAGCAGGGCCCAGCAAGTGTCCAAGTTGTCTTTGGATGAGAGGAAGGTCCTGGCCGGGAGCTGGGGCCTGTCCTGGTCTACTGGGGGAGGTGCCACCTGGCTGCAGGGCATGAGGGGTGGCAGGGCTGGGCACCCTTCCCAGAACCACAGAACCTAGCAGAGCCCCTGTCACCACATGGTGTCCCAGTGCCGCTGCCTAGCCCTGCTCTCCATGTAGGCATCAGCCGCCACCCTGGCCCCTGCTGTGAGAGGGAGGCCTCTGCCTCCAGCAGGCTCGTCTCTGCCTGTACCCCCCCCACCTGCCGATTCCCACCTCCATTTGCACGATTATGGTCAGTGCTTGCTGCTGGCCCAGCTCTGTACCAGACCCCACATTACGCCTGCCTTTCCCTGATTTGGAAGTTAGATGTTTTGTCTTTGTGGTTATCTCTAGATTTCCTTCCGAGCTTGAGCTTTGTTTACGGTAGCAGGCGGTCACCTTTCCTTTTTAATAGGCATACCTGGCTTAACCAAATCCAGACTGAGTGAGCTGTCATGCCTCCTCCCAGGAGGTGGCCGAGGACATGTGGCATTTCTGTAGCTTGGTTTCATCACCAGGGACCGTGGAGTCTCCTGCTTGTTCCAGTTCATCCCCTGGAACTCAGTCTCCTTCCTCCTGAATTGTGTCCCTTGGTTGTTATTGCTGTACAGTCTGCAGTGATCCCCCCACTCTTGATTGGTAGCTGACTGCAGAGTTCTTGGTCGACAACTGCCTCTCAGCATTTCAGAGAAGTTATTTCTGTCTCTTGGTGTTTGTTGGTGCTGGGGAGAGCTCGTCATCGCCCAGTGGCCGTGGGTGTGCTGTGACCCTCACTGTGGATGTTCTGCAGAGTTACTCTGAAATGGTGAGGCGGGGACTTGTTTTATGCTGCTGAAGCTCAGGCTTCTTGATCTGAGAATGCGTGTCTTCCTTAACTCAAGACCGTCCATGGCTACTGTCTCTCTCCATCCATCTCCTCCCCTGCTGCCTCTTCTTTCCCTGTACACAGACGCCTCCACCCTCATGGCCTCCTGTCTTGTAATCTCTCACACTTCCCCTCAATTTCTTTTCTGAGCTGTCTTTTGGGTAGTTTCTTCAGCTCCTCCTCCAGTTCACTAAGTCTCTGCTCTGCTGTGTCTGATCTGCGGCTTAACCCATTTGTTGAGTCTAATTTCTTAATTTCATTTTTTGTTTCTGGACGTTCTGATCAGTTCTTTTTTACATGTGCCTGTCTTTCATAGCATTATGTTTTTTATTAGGTTGAATATTCCTTTCTTTGTAATCATTTTAAACATTCTTTTACAGTTTCTGCGACTTTGTTCCATCACACGAGGTCCTTGCTGGTTGTGGCTCTAGACTCTTGTTGTCCTGTTTCTTTGTAAGGTCTTCAGCAGGGTTTTATCTCGATATTTCCTGTGTGTCTTGGCTTGGAAAGATTCCCTCTAGGACTCCAGAGTTCCTGGTACCACATTTTGCATTAATTTCTTGGTTTAGAGGTACTCTGACCACGTAGACTTTTGAAAAGTGAAACGCTAACTTCAGGCCCTGGTTGTAGATCCTCGGAGATGGTGGAAAGGCAGACCGCCCTCTTTGCCGCTTACCAGTGGTGGTGGGCAATTTATTTTCAGTTCTTTCATTGAGGTTGTGGCTTTTCTGGATGTTTCTGGATTCTGAGGAGAAGTGGTGTTGATTCCCAAGGCTCTATGGACCCCTATGGGGGATGGCACTGGATTCCCTGAGCTTCTGGGGTCCTGCTTGGGGAATGCGTAGCCTTGCAGCCTCAGAGCAGACACAGCTCAGGGTTGCGTGCACCCTGGCTGAGTTGCTACAGGTGTGTGCCAGGAGGCCAGGCTTTGTCCTGATTAATTCTGAGATATTGGTGGCTCCAACCTCAGGCCTCATCTGTCACTAGCTGTCCCACCACTTACTGGACCTCAGGCAGGTGTCCAGCCCTCTGACCTGGTGTCTACCACAGCTGGGAGAGGAAGTGGTTCTTGGCCACTTGCCCCTGGGGAGGTGCCTTCTACACATGAGGGAATGCGGCTGAGCACAGAGCTGCCGCTGAGTGAGATGTGGGCCTGGGCTGCATACACAACCCTTCCTTTCCTTTGGAGCTGGCTCAGGGGGACTGGCCTTGAGTTCTGGCCATGTTGGGAAGGCTATAGCTTGATCTTGAAGGACCTGAGGCTCCAGGCTGACCTGCAGGCAAGGGCCACATGCACCAACCACCTGAGTGCCCTACCCCAGGTCCTGCTGGTCCTCCCTTTTCACAAATACCCTGTGGTCATCACGAGACCAGTCTCTCTGTTTCCTCGCAGGCTTGTCCATCCCCAGGCTGGGCAGTTGGGTCAGAGCCACTGTGGAGAGGGGATGTTGGGGTCTGGGCATATGCAGGGCAGGAGAACATAGGCCCCTTTGGGGTGTAGACCAGGGGATCTGCCACCCCTGCCCTGGTGGTAGCCTGAGTCCCTCTTGCCCACGTGTCCCCACAGGCTGCAGTGTGCCTGCCAGCACAACACCTGTGGCACCTCCTGTGACCGCTGCTGCCCTGGTTTCAACCAGCAGCCGTGGAAGCCAGCAACTGCCGACAGTGCCAACGAGTGCCAATGTGAGTGCCCCGTGCCCTGGGCCTACCCAGGCATGAGCTGCCGGCACCCGTGGCTCATGGGTGTGCCTGAGGGCCGTGGAGGACACATTGACAGCTGAGCCCCCTCCTCTCCAGCCTGCAACTGCCACGGCCATGCCAATGACTGTTACTACGACTCTGAGGTAGACCGGCGCCACGCCAGCCAGAGTCAGGATGGCACCTATCAGGGCGGAGGTGTCTGCATTGACTGCCAGGTGGGCCAGGGGGAGGACCAGGGTGGGCTGGCACCAACCTGGAGTGGGGACACTTGTGTACTCAGCAGCCCTGCCCCTACCCCTAGCATCACACAACCGGCATCAACTGTGAACTCTGCCTGCCCGGCTTCTACCGTACCCCGGACCAGCCACTAGACTCACCCCACATCTGTCGCCGTGAGTGGGTTCATCTGGGAGGCATCCTGGGACTGGGGTCTGCCCCGAAAAGGGTGTGCCTTGAGAGGACATTCCAAGCTTCAGGGCCTGCCCAGGAGGAGCTCTCCCAGGCTTGGGATAGGACCCCAGAGCCCTGGCACCTCCCCGGGAGGCCTGGCCTCAGTCTCACACCTACTACCCAGATCGTGGACACAGAAACTCCCTCCCTTGGGGCCTGATGGCTCTGACCTTACCTGCCCCTTGGCTTCTGGCCCCTGCCCAGGCTGCAACTGTGAGTCAGACTTCACTGATGGGACTTGTGAGGACCTGACTGGCCGCTGCTACTGCCAGCCCAACTTCACCGGGGAGCGTTGTGACATGTGTGCCGAGGGCTTTGTGGGCTTCCCACACTGCTACCGTGAGCACCTGGCAGGGGCGTGTGCCTGCTACGTGTGGGACCCAGGGTGCCCTGTGGGGGTGGAGCCCCGGCCTAGACCCCTTTTGTCCTGCCTGCATCTCTAGCTGTGTGGGAGACCCAGGGTGGGGGTAGGTACAGAGATTTCAAGCAGACCTGGCCAAGAACACATGGTGTGTCTTTCTGCAGCTGTGCCCTCATTCTCCCCCAATGACACTGGGGAGCAGGTGCTGCCAGCCGGACAGATCGTAAGTAAGTGTCCCTGAGGTCCCCAAGGTCCTTCCCCTACCCTGGGGCCGTGACCCACAGGCCACTCCACAGGAAGGCCTTGAAGAGAGGACCCTCTCTCACTGTGGCCTCTTGGTTTTTGCCTCATTTCTGTTTATGCAAATCACCCTATTTTTTATAGCCTTTTTTTTGAAAACCTTCAAAAATATTGGTAAGCATAAAGGTAAAGAGAAAAGTCATCCAGGATGGTGCCAGCTGCTAATGGCCCCTCACGCTGCCTGGACCCTCTCTGCTGTGCTCTTGGCTTTCACAGACACTGAGGTGTCCCCGCAAACTGTCCTGTCACTGTGTCTCCACCCACTCACAGCGGCAGGGGCACCATTTTTTTAACCAACCCCTAATTATTAGAAATGGTGGTTCTTTCCTTTTGATTTTTCTCATGGCCTAAAGAGAGAAATATATCCTTTTTTTTTTTTTAAACAAGGTTTTTTTTATCTGAGACAGTCTCACTATGTCTCACTCTGTAGAGTGCTGTTGTATCACAGCTCACAGCAACCTCAAACTCTTGGGCTTATGCAGTTCTCTTGCCTCAGCCTCCCAAGTAGCTGGGACTACAGTCGCCCGCCACAATGCCTGGCTATTTTTTTGTTGTAGTTGTCATTGTTTAGCTGGCCTGGGCCGGGTTCGAACCTGCCAGCCCTGGTGTATGTGACTGGCACCCTAGCTGCTGAGCTACAGGTGCTGAGCCAATATATCCTTTTTTTTGCTTTTCTTTTTTTTTCTTTTTTTTTAAAGACTAGACAAGTACAGTAGTGAGAAGAGGGGAAAGAGTAGAACAAGGAGTTCAGTCTGTAACTGACTGTGAACAATCAAGTGAGATCACTCACTACCTTCAGACCAGCCTTTTGGTTTGCTTTTTAAAGAGCGCTGTGGTAAACATCCTTGCAGCTGACACTGCGTGGAGTCTTGCTTCTTCTGTAGGACACTTTCCTAGAAGGAGGTTCTGGATCACTGGACATGCGAGTTGAGGACATTTTTGTAGATTACCAAATTGTTCTCTTAGACATCTGCTGGCGTAGTCACCCTGACAGCATGTTAGCACTGGCGCCACATAGTGACGGCTCTCCCGGCCAGCTTGAGTGGCAGACGATGTCCTCCTTGGCTCAGAGACACGTCCACCCTTTCCAGAGTTCCTGGAATTGGGGCACATCTTCTGGTGACGGCGTCACAGTCTCATTGGCAGGAGTTGTCAGAGGATGGTGTGTTTCACAGTGGGCAGGGTCTTCATTAGTTTGTGTTGGGCATTTCACTGTCTTTAGCTGCACTTGGACTGATTAAGGTGGAATCTTCTTGGCCTTTCAGTTGCTTTCTTATATTCTGTGTTTTTTTCTTTCTCTTTTGCTATGAACATGCTGCAACCCAGTTGCTGTCTCACGTGGGTCGCCCGCGCAAGGGCACGGCTTTCCCCTGGGCATCTGGCACCTTACTCAGTCCATAGGACCAACTCTTCCCATATTTATTTTATAATCCATTTCTTACAAGTTGTGTGTTTTCTCCTGGTCCTTTTGTTTTGGGGCTTTTTTTGGTGCACCGGTTGTTACCTGTTTAGCTGAACCTTGCCAGTGTTGTTCCGCTGGGTCACAGCTGGGTCATGATTAGGCAGAGTCCCAACCAAGTATCCACTCATATCTGCTAGCTCTTTCGTAGTTTTTATATTGAAGTGTTTAGTGTTTTGTTAATAGTGTAAACCAGGGTTTGGCAAATGTTTTCTTTTTTTTTCTTTTTTTTTTTTTTTTGAGACAGAGCCTCAGGCTGTCCTCTGGGTAGAGTGCCGTGGCATAGCTCACAGCACCCTCCAACTCCTGGGCTCAAGCGAGTGTCCTGCCTCTGCCTCCCAAGTTGCAGGGACCACAGGCGCCCGCCA